AAAAGGCCTGCTTATATAGTCTATTTACACAGCGGCTGGCTTGTGGTTCTAGCCCTAACTGATAATTTCAAAAATGGCTAGATTGTGGATCTAGCCCTAACCATTTACCTAGCTCTAAATCTATACTATGCACTACAGATGTACCACTATGCTTTGTAATCATGTTCTATCATATCATTAACATCTAAATAACTTCTGACTGAGTCGAGCTAGCCTAGTGGTTCCAGTGATTGACTATAGGTTAAATGTGATGAGGATTCAAATATTCAGTAAAAAAACCAATAATAAATCTCCTTATCAAAGATGATTCAAAAATTTATGTACTTTGATACTTGAAACACATTTGGCACACTACACCAACCCCAATGGGGGTCCAGCACTTGTAATAAGTGTGTTTTTGAAGTCTACAGGGTGTGTAGATTCCAAATCTAAAGTGGCAAACAATTTGGTCCAGCCAAAAAAAACCCCTTTTTTCACTTGACCATTCAAACACAGGTCATGTATGGGGGTCTTAGTACATATTTATGGGTTAGGGAGGTATCCTAATCCCATACTCACATGGCCAACTGTCAGCCAAAACCCATGAACATGAGCTTAAAGTGTGTTTCACAGGTCAATTACAGCAGCTGTGAACCGGATATACATCTCAACCCCCCAAAAACAGGCAAAAATCACAAAAAAAAAATCCAAGTTTTGGGCCCTGACAATTTCGGACATCGCAAAACCTTGTATAGTACAATGCCGCGCCACTGTACATTTTTGTTGCTGCCAAACATGGTAAGTTGACTCTGGGATGTAATTTTTTCCAAACAAGTGGCAAAAATTGCACAATTTCTAAAATTTCCAAGCCCCAAAACCAAATCTTCCTCGGATCCTGCCCTTCCCAGGACAGATTTTCTTGATTTTTTTTCTCCAAACATTTCAGAACCCCAAAATCCATGTACAGTGCCCTCCCAGATGTATATAGCCAACTTGTTTGGATTACACAACCCTAACCCACCAACTTGCAATCATGAGACTTGGGCAAGTGGTATGAAAGAGGTTTCAAAAAATGATTTTGAAAACAAAAATATGAAAAACTGATTTTTAAAATTTGCAAAAAATATTACAATTATTGCACTTTTTTCAAAAGTCTCAATATTGTTCCAAATGAAAAAATAAAAATTGGAACTTGGAGTATGGTATGCTGGAGAAATGATGATAAATGAAAATTATGATAAAATAACTACCTTCAAACTGGTGTGGAGGGAGACATTCATCAGTCTCACAATGGAAAAAACAGTGGAGGAGGCAGTGCTATCAAATTGAACTTGTGTTTTGAGCTGGATACTGAGCTCCAAATCATTTCTGGTGTTGATTTTCTTCATTTATTATCATTCTTCTTGCATACCATACCACTCTTTCCAATTTTCATTTTTTCATTTTGAGCAATATAAGACTTTTGAAAAAAGTGCAATAATTGTAATATTTTTTGAAAATTTTGAAAATCAGTTTTTCATACTTTTGTTTTCAGAATCATTTTTTGAAACCTATTTTATACCACTTGCTCAAGTCTCATGATTGCAAGTTGGTGGGTTAGGGTTCTGTAATCCAAACAAATTTGCTATATACATCTGGGAGGGCACTGTACAGTAGGATGGGTTGCGCCACTGTATATGTCGGGTCTCTTGCTTGGCCAAGAGCAATTGCTCACCATCCCCCCCCCCCCCCCCACCCACCCCCCCAAAAAAGAGAAAAAAAAAGAAACCTAAAAAACTCTGCTTTCAAAAGAGGCAATAATAGAAGTGATTGACTTTGAATAAATTGCACACTCTGAGTCTGGGCTCCCCAGGGGTCTATACATAAATGAATTCCGGGGCAAGAAAAAAATGGATACAAGCGCGCTATTCCAGATTCACAGTGAACGAAATAGCCATACATAGTACATTTCCGAAAAGCTCTAGAATACATTGTGAGATTTGCTCGTCTATTATGAGGGGCTGTTTCTCTTCAACCATCATTAAAATCCACAGATCATGACAATCTCTAGTTTGATGAGATTGCACCAGTGAAGCCCTCGACGGTAGGTACGATCTTCAAAGAGAAGTCGATGGTTCGTGTGCCTTGGTGGACGCTTGAAGTCGAGTATATATCTACATCTACAAAGTTACAATCGATCGGAAAAAACTCAGAATTATTTGTGGGTTTGAGGATGAAAGATACGCTTGGATGAGTTGAATATAGTGCTTACCGTGACAGAGGTGGGAGCTAATGTTTTGTTCCGTTAGGCCTCCGGAAACTTCGATGAGGAATCGACGATCGGTGCCTTGGAAGCTTTGTTTCAGAGATCGAGCGGAGGTCTTGACATTTTCAGGGGTGAACTAAGTTGAGGGGACAAAAAGGATAGAATGATAAACGACTGTTCATAAGGCTAAGGAGGTAGGTAGTTTTGTGGGTGTGGTTAAAGACTGACGTTATCCAACATGATTACATCTGCTCCGGCCTCAATAGCTTCCTTAGCTTCTTTCTCATCTCGGACCTCAACATCAATCCTCAAACTGAATCCACAAACGCTACGAGCTGCTTGGATGGCAGCGGTGATCGAACCTTTGCTCCAGATGTGGTTGTCCTTCAACATCACCATACTTGATAAGTCATATCGATGAGGATCGATGCCTCCCACTAACATCCCATACTTTTCGACCAATCTAAAGCCTGGTGTCGTCTTCCTCGTACCTGCGATCAATCCTTTGTAAGAATGATCTCGAGCTAGTTTCAGCATTTGATGAGACCTAACAAAACAAAATATTTGGTCAAAGTAAGTGCTAGACCTGACATTGATAATCAAGGAAGAAACGGGCTTGAATGGACTAACTGAGTCGCAATCCCACTACAACGCGCTAACAAGTTCAAGCCGACTCGTTCTCCAATCAGCAGACACCTGGCTTTACCCGTAACGATAGCCACAACTGTTCTTCCGCCCGGTACCAGATCTCCTTCCTTAAACTTCCATTCAACCCTGTTGGAAATGGAAAAACGAATGAGAACAATAGGGCAACCTTATGTCGTTGTCATAAAATGAGACTCAAGACTACCTGCATTCCAGTTGATGGAAGATTTCGTCAAAGAAAGGGACGCCGGCCAGGATACCCTGTATACACAATGAATACATCCAGTCAGTCAAAGTTGATCTTATTTCCTTGATGTGCGAGAGACGAGAGGAAAGTGGAAAGTATATACTGCGCAAAAGAGATCGTATGACCACTTAACTTGAGATTTACCCAACAACTGGGCTTCCTGTTGGCTTTCACCTACGACGAATCCACCATAATCGAAACTCGGCGTGTCTTCTCTTAACCATTCAGTTACGACCGACTTCCATGAAGGTGGTAATAGATGAGCCGGGTCTCCAAGTGCGCTTGTGTTCATACTTCGTTGCTGGTTGGACTTGGTAGTGGTTGCATGTAGTCGCTTGGTGGGGCAAGCCGCCGGCCAGGGACCAGCTGGGCTATATATGGGCTTCGGCTCACCTGCGTGAAACTCCGCACTTTGATCTCAGACCAACCAAACTTGCCAGCACCTCCTTGCCTCACAATTCCAACATAAATAAATAAATACATACAAATTCATATTCACAAATAAGTCTTGTCAAGTCTGATTGTATCTGGATGTATCAATAAAATTTCCAAAAGTGAGCAAGTCCCATGGTCCACCTTTGTGGCTACATTTTAATGACGGGTCTATCGCTTCTATAAGTGAGTTTATCTTTAGAAAAGGAAATAGGCAGGTCAGCTCAATAAACATGTCAGTTTGGAACTATGCAGGTTTGATTTTCCAAGAAGGGTCATAGTAAAAGTTCAATCCCCATTCCATCAAAGCAACTGCTACTTATGACCTCTTACTCTTGCGACCGTACTTTGACTGGAAAGAGCAGTACTTGGTGTTTGAGGAGTCTTTTGGTGTAAACAATGCCTCTGCGTATATAAACATCCAAGAAGAATTACGTGGTAAAAAACAAACATTTACAGGCCCAGCGTATTCTTGAGCAACAACAAGAGGATATATGTACAAGAAGCATTTTCTTCAAGTACTTAGATCATTATTGATTAAAGCAATGAGTGGCAAGAGCAGCAAACCTATAGGAAGGGACACGAGCAAACCGATCAAGTAAATTTGACCACAGACATTTCAAAAATAAAACAACTAAACAACCGAAATGATGTTCAAACAATTCCTTTCGGCAAATCACATCTACGTTATGCATCGCTTTGATGTGTTTAAGGAAAGTGTGGAAACTTGAGACCACGTGTGACGCCAGATGACTCGCTCGGCTCTGGATTCCAGGATGGGGTAGGACGATCTAAAATCAAATTCTTTTCAGATCCTGTGGATGGCTCCAATATTTTAGTGTTGGGTCCAACTTGACTGATCTTGGTGCTTGACAGATGCCGGTCTGCTTGGGAGTTGGACGATTCTGGTATCATTTTCCGTCTTTGAGCGAGTCGGTTGAATTCGATGCCTGATTCAAAACTCTCTGCACTTGGAAGTTGTCTCGACATTTTCGGTCGGGTAGTTTCTTTCGGTGCGTGCTCTAGTTCATCTGTAATAGCTTCGGGTGACATCGGCTTGTCATCACCTTTAAGAGCTTGTACCAGGTCCGCGTTAAGCTGTCCTATCTTATTATCGATCTCTGTTTCCGGGAGGGCTAAGCCCACGCCGTGGTGATCATCCTCTAGAAGGTGGCTATTTCGGGTAGGGATGCGTGAAAGGGTTTTTTTTTTGGTTAGTTAGCAGCAAAGAATATCTTATCTAACCAGCGACGTTGAATACGAGTTACTCACTTCCAAGCAAATTGTAAGGACGCGATATCCTGAGGGAACAGGTCTGTTGGCACATCAGGTACCAAGTCTTCCTCAGGGGCCGGTTTCTCCAGGACATCTGGCACCGAGTCGGTTGGGGCTGATGGTTGAGATGGGGTAGCCCTTTTGACGATTGAGTGAACATTGGTCAAGGCTCTCGTGTGGTCTTCCAAAGGAACCGCAATGCTGAATCTCAACAAGTTTCGGGATGAAGGACATAGAAGAAGCCCCAGAAAACTAGCCAAGATATCACCTCGTCTCATGGTAGTAATGCAGCCAGAGTCTAGTAGTAAGTTGGTTGGGTTGAATCAGGTTATTACTAGCTCTGATGATTGGATATATTTAGATAGTTAAGATAATTACTGGGGAAAGAGGTAGTTGTCCGTCAAAGAGTTTCCACTATATTTGTCTTTGGAGTCAATCCTTCGGCAAAAGTGATCAAGACAAGAGGTGGCGACATTGCAAGGACTAGTTTCATCATGCATTGTCCTCTGGAAGCAGGCAAGTTTCACCTCAGTGTTTCTTTTCTGATACAAAAGTACATGCTATCATACTACCGCAATTGATGTCGCTGGACCTTTCTCCGAGATATATGAACGCATGCATAATTGTGTACATAAATATATGATGGGGCGATTGTTCATGGACTTCATGGAGTGTACGAAATACCAGGCTTTTTGATTTTCCTCGGACGGCAACCTCACCTGAAACAGACTCATGATCCGCCAAGCGCATGTGGCCAAAATTCATGCTACATGACATACGATTGGCAAGCCGAGGGCACAGAGAAGTACCGATGACCGTAGCTCGGCTAGATTGCTCCGGGCCAAGTCCAGATGATGGCACATCATGAAATTGCTCCCGGCCAGAACATTCTTCAGGATACCGTGAATGACCCGTTCATGAAACTTGTGCACTCCAAGGCTGCATGTGTTCATATCTGTGGGGAACCCGATGATCCGTACCAAGTTTGAAGTCAAATGTTCTTTGAATCAGGGAATGCAAACCCCATGACGTCTTGGAGCTATACTCCTCAACGAGCTTAACTAATCCTCTCGTGACGAGAGTCGTTTGCGGGCAGGTCTGGGCGGCCGAGGTTGGTCAGGGTTGGTCGGCAGCATTTTCAGACAAGACAAAATCACAGGACCAAGCCTTGAGCCGCACGACTTTTGGAGGTTGTTTCTCAAATTCAGGATATGAGGTTGAGGGTCAAACACCAACCATGGTGAAAGGCCTGGCGCTAGCAAGCCAGCCGGAGCACCCACAAAGGATCCCACCCGATTCGACGATTTAAATCAACATGGGCAAATTCCAAGCCTAATACGTCAGGCCTCTGGGAGACACACTACAAGCCCTTCAGAGTCTGTCTCACAAAGAGGCCTGCATGGCAACTTTGCAAGTATTCTGGCTACATATCACAGGAGGAACTGTTTTTTTTTACCAAAAATGTGACTTTTATGGTCAATCCCACATTATACGGAAGACCAAGTCGAAAATGATGATGATGATGATGTGTATCTTCCCACTATGCAAGAAGAAAATAGAGGTTAATTAGTTGACAACTTTCTGTGAGCTGAGAAGATTTCAGGAATGAAAAGTGAATGTTGGTCATTGCTGAAAGTGAAAGGAAAGGAGGGGAGACTCAAGAGGTTAACAATTGCAAAAATAAGTAAGATTATAAGAAGACTTGTTTGGAATCTGTATAGTTAAATAATTTTTTGTTATTTTCTGATACATATTTGTTTTAGTTTCTGATATCCTTAGAGAGTATTGTAATTTGTGAGGCAAATATTGAAACATCTTGCATAAAAAAATCAATCTTGCCATATAACAGGTGAGATCAGGTAAAGTACAATCACCTACTACACATCAATCAGATGTTCTTGGACTCAGACTAAGCCAAGCTTATTGTTGCTTGAATTACAAAGTGACAATTATGGCAATGATACTTCTGCCCATAAGCTTTAGAGGGAGAGTATTCCAAGAAGTGGTGGGAATTTATTGTACATTATTGCACTGCTTCCCTTTTGTATATGGCATCATTTCTGTGTTATTCATTGTTTTCTTTGGTATTGTAGCACTTTGTTCAGATACTGGAAAGTAGTGCTTTTCTACCCTGTTTTCAGGCATAAGCAAAAGATTGGGGTCACCAGGTAAAATTAATTATAACTAGATGACAGGTGACATCTACATATAACTAAAAGAATAGGCTCAGAGAGCCAAACAAAGTGTCATGCAATCTAACGCCGGCGTCGACCTCCAATTCAAATTTGTCGACGCCGACGTTGGACTGAGACAGGTGCCCATTTCATAAGCAATACACTGAAAGGGGCAGAAGGTCATCAAGTAAAACCCCCCAACATTCGGGGCAAAATCAAGCAACCTCCCCAAAAATGGGGGCAAATATTAGTAGATAAAAAATGGATGGTGATTCTTTTTGAGATGGCTCTGCTGTCACTTGACTATGATGGCCCATTTTTTCCTTGCAGGCGGCTGCAATAGCAATCAAATATATAAATGATTGGCAGATCATTACAGTTAAGCTGGCTTCACCTGTAACTACTGAAATTTTGGTTTTCCTAGATAATACTTCTGACTTTATTGAGCATAAAGCTTGTTTGTATTGTGCCATGTTTGGAATTAAGAGACCCAGGCTCACCATGATATTGTTATCATCAATGCCCTTCTTACATATTGGGTCCTAATGGGGCACAAATTTGATCTTTGGACAGTGGTTTACACAAACTCACAAACTCAGGTTGTTATATATACTTTGTAGCATTTTGTTTCAAAAGTCAACTTTAAACCCCCCTTTTTCATTGGTAATTAAGGGCCTGTACCACAGCCCCAATTTTCAAGTCAATTTCCAATTTCCAGGTTGGAAATTGACTCCGCCAGAAATGGTGTACCATGCACACCTAATTTCCCACAGTACAGAAGCCAGATTCTAAGTGACAACCCCAAAACAATTTTTGGTTGGTGAAAAATAAGAAGATCAAAAAGGGAAATGAAAATTTGGCAGGGGTGCTAATCTATGGTACAGGGCCTAAAAAAGAAAGTGACATGAAAAATTGTGCTACTGATATAGCTATCATTTTGATAGGGTGATTGTCCACCACTGTTTTCCAGAGATAAATGCGGAGAAGAGATCAATGTTGTCCATGATTAATTGCTGCTGAATTCCTATGACAGTCATTAGGGTTTTCATCCATAGTAAACTTGTCATTTATTCCTCCTTTTGTCCGATTCCCAGCCTGTGTGCCCATTGAACTATCCAATCTTCTTCAACTTGAAAGGGTGGGGCCAGTTGAGTCAAATCCAAAGGCTCAATTGCATTCTTTGACTTTTCAAATTTAAGATAATGTCCTGACTGATTGGATTTCTGGCTGTCCAGCTGATGGTCGTTCTGGGACCCTGTCGAGTCTTGTGCCCTTTTCAATCTTTTAAACCTTAAGTTTGATTCACTGCCTCCAACTATTGCTTCTACATTTGTGGGTTTTCCAGGTATTGTTTGCTGAGTACCAGATTTGGGTGTGTCGAGCTGTTCCGCAGTTTTGATTGCCAGAGCCTGAGGCTCAAAATCCCTTCCAGGGGGTGGTGTCGTAACCATCATGAATTCATTCAACGTATTTCTCTCTAATTCCTCTGATGTTGCAATGGCTTTGCCAGTTTCAACCTCAATTAGAAAGTTCCTGTTTTACACAGAGGAACGCGTTTTTTTGAGGTTGGGGAAAAAGGACATGTATAAGTATTAGAAAAGGACATTGAATGTGAATTACTTACTCTGGAATTAATTCAGACCCCTTCTTCCCTAATAATTTGGGAGACTTCTTGAGAAGGTCTTTCATGGGCCTGGATGTTTCAGAATCATGTCCAAAAACCTCTCCATCCGTGTTCACTCGGCGAACCCTCAACAAGGCTCTCGCAGTGTCTTGAGAAGTTATTCTTGCGCCGATGCACAGTAAATTTATGAGTGAAGGGCATAGGAGAAGCACAAAAGATCTGGCCAACATTTCGTTTCGTCGTGAAGAAGTGATGTAATTGTAAACTTGGCCATAAAAATGAAAGAAAGTATGTAGTTGGAAGAATTTGTTGGTGGATGTGACCACTTTAAAATCGAAAAGTGCCCCTTATGTTGAAAATGCCATTCAGGAGCAATCACCTCGTGCACTGACACGCACGCCACAAGATACTAGCAGGGTTCTCGAGGGCTTCCCCTTGTTAGAATTGCCGGCAGGTTTGATCGATACGTTACTCTCCTAACATGCTCAAGTGATTCTCCAAAGCTTTTCTCCGATTTGTCCATGATCAGGTCGGAGTCTCGGCCAACAGGGGTTTTAATCATTCTTCATGGAAACATAACCATCCGCAGGGGGCATGTTGTCAAGACTCACATTCGAAGAGGTAACAACAAGAGCAAGACATTTTCGACGCCCGCAACGCATTGCTTTCGCTACAACTTTTTTGTCCACCGGCAGCTAGGAGCTGCGACTGCTAAGAGACCTTCATCAATGATACTTGGCAACTGCCTAGTAGACCATGCAGGCATAATGCGGTCTGAAAAACAATAGTTCAAGGAATGTCACCATTACCCGAAGTAGTAGCATTAACTTTTAAGACTGCCGCATCTCTCGAATCAAAAAGAGATATGGCTCGCATCGCCATCAGCAACCAGTCTAACAAGCTTATTCGGGACCTGATCAGGTCTGATGGGTGAACTGCTGTCTGATTTTCTTTCTCCAAGCGCCTTGAGAAATCCTGAGGGCCTTGTCAGGGCCTGTGAAAGCGCCACCACATTTTATGTGTCACTTTCGGCTTCGGCAGAAATCAAGAAAATCATCACTATCAAATCTTGATGTCATACTGTCTGTGCTCAAGAGTTGATTGGTTTTATGCTGTTTCATGAGAGGACTAGGAGGCCTGCATGGTCATGAATTAGCAGTGAAACTCGATGCTTGCCCGCTATAAGGAAACTTCTGACGAACATGTAGGCCCTCTCGAGTGATGCAATGCCCCAATGCACCATGGGGCCACGTTACGGCCTACATACACCGATCTTACTTGTGCTACATCCTCTCGGACAGGTGGCAGGATGCCTACGAGGATACAACAATGCGGCACGCATTTTGATGTAGCCTGCCGGTAGATACAGCCTGCCGGTAGATACAAACGGCCAAGCCTAACGGTTAACCAAGCTTTGCCGCCTTTTTTTCGAGTGAGTTTAGAAAGACCGGAACGCGTCGAGGATGCCCGCATACATCGACTTGGGATTGCAGTCCAGTCCCGAACCTCGGTTCAACCGCCTTTTTTTCCTGCCCCTTCTATCATCCAGCAGGATTGGACAAGCTTGGAATCAGACCAGCGAGCTAGGGATATCGCGTGTAACCAGTTTCAAGTTGGCAAATTCCCTGTTGTCATCCGTAGAGCCACTCCGCAAATACCTTTGGCCACCGAGTTACAGCTTGCGACGGAATGTCAAGAGCCGCTTGGGGCTCTTGGGTCATGCTTCCATTCATACCCACTAGCTCTAAACATACAGAATTGAGCCTAATCGAGTATCCGTCAGTCGCGAGCCGCACTCGTTTTCCATCAAGTATCAACTGAAGGAGCCTACCCGTCTCTCTGGCTTTGATTTCCCAGTCCCTTTCTATTGGTGAAGGGATCGTTTTCCGGGTCATCCAACAAGAATGGAAGTTTGGCTACGTTCAAAACATCGACAATGGCTACCCTTATTAGCTTACATCTGCCATGTGGTTCGCGCTTTCGAGGGAGTTCCGATACATCATGGTTTCCAGCAGGACGCTAAGATCTCACCCAATCTTTGGACCACTCCTAACTACGTCTCGAGCGATGTTGTCCCCGAAGGCTATTCTATCGTTCAAACTGCTCAACCTGGTGTTTACCCATTAATGACGCGCGAATCATGTCCTCTGACTGATGCTGAGATGTACAAGCATGACTACCACCCGATAACCTTGTATACTAATTATTTAGTTCCAAACCCTCAGCCAAAGCCCTTGCACGAAAATATGCTCTGGCTGCAACATGCTACAATCCCATTTGATCCTGAATTTTATGAGGAGATGAGGCGACACCGAATGAAGAAAAGGTATGCAAACCGCGCTGCTGCGAACATCAGGAAGATAGCAACTCAAGAAACGGCGTCTGCAAACTCGAAGGCACTTTCCGACCCGGTGGTTTCTGGCGGAGAATACACCAAAATTTCGGGGCAGCCACAGGTCACAAAGCTTCCCGTGCCACGCACTAGTGTTACAAACTCAGTCATACCTCCACCAGTGAGTTAACGAAATATGCAATGCCTACATCGGAATCACAAGAGTACTAATTCGATATTTTCTTGCGGTTTTCGTGCATGGCAGAATTTTGCTGTAGATGGCGAGAAACCTATGGATATTCCTGTTAAGGCCTTGAACCCGCTGGCGAAGAGTTTTCATCCAGATGAGCCAAAAAATCAAGTCAGGCCCTATATAGGATTTTCGAAACCAAGTGATACGCAAGAAAAAGTTGATCGAGTTGTGACCAGACCTAGGAAGGAGCTCGCCAACATTGAACCCGGACCAATGTCTAATTCGATCTCGGGTGATGCGACAATCTTTGCGAAAGAGAAAGACAAAAATGAAAGCACTTCCAAAGAGCTTGACCCCAAAGATGCTTCCACCGATCAGAAGACCGAACCGAGCAGGGCGGATCTTCCTCCATACGATACTGAACTCTCAGGACCCAATTCGGTTGAGTTGAAGATGCCTTTGGACGATCCCACATTTGGGAAAGATACCAAGTTAAAAAGTGAGAAGCTTTCCAGTCCGGAGATCGAAACTGTTGCGCCTGCGAACGAAGCCACTGCTTCCAACGCAAAAGCAGAAACTCAAAAGATATTGGCACCGACTCCCAGCAATATGAAGGTTGCTCAGGACAATCAGGATGTGGCCTCTTCCTCTGCTGATACGCCATCGGATGAAGATAGAAGCTTGAAAAATCCACCCCATGAATCAGGGCATAGTTCCACGATGACGGTGCCAAATAAATCAGATCTGACAGATAAACCGGATCTGGTGCAGGAAAACGTTAACACTCCACGGATAGAAGTCAAGGACCACTTTGATGCCATGGATCAATCAGAATTTCCAAAGCTTTACTCACCGCCAAGGCTTGAAACTAACACCTCAAAGAATCAAAAGACTGTTATTACTCCTGAAGAAAATTACAAAACTGCTCTTTTGAAAAAGGAAAACGTCCTAGTTTCCAAGGTGAAGAATACGAGAGCTGAAAAACAGAAGACGAAGATATATCCCGGTCCACATAATCGTCAGCTGAATGATCAAACTCTCAAGCCTAACCCAGTTTTGGCTAATGCTTGGGCAAATGCAAAACATTTGACGCACGAAAGGCACTCCACTGTTATAAAAAGTGTTCAGAAATCGTACAAAGAACCCGAAGCCTCCCCACCACTGAAAATTTTGGATTCTTTTCGTGCAATAGGTGCAAGTGATGCTAAGGACCAACCCGCGATTGCTTCAAGTTCTGGTGAAATTAGAAATGGACGTGATCCCGAAGAGGCCATCTGGAGAACACATCGAAAGATTGTTAAAGCGTCAGTTTTAAATCACTCAAATTTGAAATAAATTTGAAGAAAAGCTCGCTCATTGACCTTTCATTTGCAGAGATCTTGATCCAAAAGACACGAAAAACGTGGTAGTTCAGGGATTGAAAGAGGCATACCAGGAAGCCTCGGATAATCAAGCTGACGTGAATCCAGTCACGGTCAATGAAGTGAACTCAATGGACTCTCAGACCTCGAATCCAGAACACCCTGTCCCCTCTTCGACTGGAAAAAAATACATCCAACCTGAAGAAACAAATGGGCCAGATCTTGGGTCAAATGAAACGTAAGCCTCTTTGTCATCTCAATCCAATTTTCCCTGATGCCACGTTTAAAGAGAAAATATTAAAAACAATAATCTACCCCACAAAAAAAAAATAATAGGCGCGATGAAATAATCAGCGAATCTGGGCCATCGAAACTGGAAGGATTAAACGATTCTGAAAAATTGTCTGATGCAAAATCATCTAGGAGAAGGAAAAGGAAGAAGAAAAAAAACTCAAGTCCCAAGGAAATTGTAGATGCCGATTGGGAATTTTTCAAAACTCTTGAAAATGAGCAGAAGTAAGTGATACATTTGGAGAAATTTTTGGATAACTAATCAGTTCAGGATAAAGATCAAGCAATTGATGAGTTTAAAATCTGACAAAATTTCAATTTCCAAATATCTGAAATTCAGCGCCCAAACATCTACTGAACATCAGCTGCGAGACGCGGAAGGTAAACCGAAGGATGTAGAGGAACACCAAGGCGAAGGAATACACCCAGAAGATGAATATCAGTGGGTGAGTAAGAATACTTGATATTTTTGGAAGAGTCTTGAATTGAATGATAAAATCAAAGTCTAAAATTGACATGTTTTGTGTCGATCTGTTTTAGAATTTCCGGGACCTGAAAGTATCATCTGATGATCCGGGAATCAAAGCGCTCACGGAAATATTCATAAATGGACCTGTATTCCGCGAGCTCAATACGGCCTTCATACCTTTCCCTCAAATCAGAGATGATTATATTTATCCTGGATTACCAAGACCAAAGACCGTGTGTACACCGGGTAAACAAAGCACGATTCCACCTCTTGAAACACGTCTTAAAGAATGGAAAGTGCAACACGTAAACAAATGGAAGCAGTTGGGCTTAGATTTGGAATTGATGGACTGTGTATTGAGATATTTGCAAATTAAAGTGGCCACTCCTCATCTACCTTTGGATGATTTGGATGATCATACATATGAAAAGCTCAGAAGCGTATGGCACGGTGGGCCTGCTAGTATGATGAAGTTCATGGATTTGCAACTCTGGATGAATGGCATGATGAAACCGGACGAATTTCACAGAAGGGTCAAGACTTTAGCCCAGCAGATCGCTGAGCGGACGCTTGTTGAGAATTGGAAAGCGATCAAGGCCTACGTACTGAAGAACAAAGAACTGACGCCGGCAGAAGTCAAAGCGATTGAGAAGTTCTACAGCCTTTCGGTTCAATTTCCGAACCCATTCAAAGATCCGCCCACAAAGGAATTACGCGTGCCGAAAGGTAAAGAATATACTCTTAGAGTCATCCAGCAAGCCTTAGGAATCGATAGCAGTATATTCAGACCAGAGTCGATCACACTCGACCATCTTCCAGAAGGCAACAGAGTCTCAAATTCTAAGGACGAGCTTCAGTTCAGAATCCGATATAATGGGCTTGGGATCAAGAAAGTATTAGGCCTGATTGAAATGTTCAATATGGAAGAAGGGATCGGATATTCGGTCTATTTCACATCACCCCACGACATCATATACTTTGCAGCTGATGATTTGACTGAGTGGGAGATTTCTCCAGAGCAACAATGGCTCAGAAAACATTACCCAAAGGAAAAGGTGGATGAAGTGTCAGAATTCTTGTTTCGAACAAACATCATCAATAACTTTAGCTCAAGTAAGAATAAAGTCAATCTAATTCACCCGTTGAGAAGAAGACTTTTGCATGATTTGATTGAAAACAAAAGAGCCAAACACTCAGCATCCTAGAATTGTAAGGATAATATACAGTCATATTCTCCAAAATATGTAGATAGTCACATCAGTTTCTCTTTTCCTTTCAGTCTCTATTATCAACCACCCTAATTTTTACTTCTGATTCCACATTTCAGGTGTTTAGACTTACTTTTTTCTTTTTTCTTTGAGTGGGAAGGGAACGGAGTTGTTTTTCCTTTTTTTTTGGGGGGGGGGGGTATGGAGGCATTAGCGCGCCATTTTGGCCAAAAAATCAATAAAAATGGTACCCAAGTGCCAAAATGGCCACATAAGTGCCACTTTTCTACAATACAGCGCTTCTCAACTGCCAGCTCAAATGGCGAAGAACAGTTTGCAACTGCCAAGATTGGCAACCAAGCAACCAAGCTGCCATTTCACGCCTCTGAGATGCCAAGCATGGCACTGAGGGACCATTTGCGCCATCCATCCATCATCCCAGCTTCTGGCAACCTTCGGCTCTCCTCATCATTCATACAGGATACCAGACTCAACCCCATAGGCATCCTGACCAGTGAAGCGTACAGCACCTGGTCAATTTGTGGGTGATAACATTATATGCATACCTGTTCGAGTCTAAGACATTGCCTTCCCCTCACAACCACTCATCATAAGCTTAATAGATCTCCGACATCACTAAAGCATCAGCAGCCTGCATTACACTAAGAAGCAACTCTCCAACAGCACCCTCCAGTAGCCTCCAAGTCGCCAGATTTCTTCATTGCAAGCCATGACATGTATCCAGTGTGGCAACACCCCTACCGTGCTGGGGGAGTACTGCCTAGAATGTGTCCGATCTGTTAAAGTCAAGCAACAACCTGCTTTCCAGCCCACCATTTCACCAACCCCTACCAGCGATTCAGTCACCGAAGCTATGAGAATCAAGAGGGAAGAGGCCATCAACCTGGCCCGAGGTTTATATGGTATACCAACCCCATCTGCTGGATCCCTTTCTGTCCCCAGCTCTATGAAGCCACCACCACCACCACCGGTTCACAGTAATCTGGGTTTGTCTTCCTATTTACTAATACCCACATATATGCAAAGCCTTGAATTATTCCATTTCTCTTCCAGTGCTGCCACAGAACCCCGATTTTCCCTATGCCTCTGCTAGAGCACAAAGGAATTCAGCCTGCAAGCCATATTCAACCACCCGTCCAAGGCTAGTGATCAAGCAATCTGCCTCTGGCAAAGGAGCCATCCCACTCGAGAATCCTCCCTACCGGGTCTCTGTCCAATGTGGATTCGAGGTGAGACACAAGAACAAATGGGTCTCCAACCAGGCGCCAATGCGTGTGGCTACCTGGATTTTCCCTGGCGACCCCAACGCACATCAATCCTTACTTCTCGAGCTCACAAAAAGACACGAGGGGAAAATGCAGCTCCAGATCAAAAACTACGATGGTCGGCTATTTTTTTCTGAGAAGCACTTCCCATTCTGCCGCCTTGGTACACGAAAAGGATCAGTCATCGACCAGGAGGGATTCATTCAATTCCTCAAGGAAAACAAGGCAATAGATCTACTCTTGGAATACGATGAGTTTGAAGACCACGAAGAAGATGAAGAAGAGGCATGTGGCATGGAGACCCAGTCTAGGCAATATGCCCTACGATCAGCCACCTCTGCTTCCTTCAACAGCCGGGCAAACACACCTTCAGTTGGGTCCACCTTGGCGATATCAAACGATCGAGAAGACTCAACTTTCTCACTTCCAACCATTACCACCAAACCTCCGGTCATAACCCAAGAGAACTCGCCTGATATTGTGGTTGCTACGTCTGCAAATCAAATTGGTCTTGGCTCAATAAAAACGCCAGTGGATCAAGCGTTGGAACCTGTGGTTATCTACAAAAAGTCACCCCCATGTAAGTAATGATTTACACATATAGCTAGTTTATTTCTCATAATAATGTGGGTCTTTTTCGTTCTACAGGGTTGGCACCAGCAATTCTTGACCTGAAGGATCTTTCTTGGGACCGGTTTGGAACTCCGGAGCACTCGAGCACCTTTCGTGGCCATGACGATACTGGCTGGGCCAATGGACTTCGTAGTCAACTTGATCCCGATGGTCTATACATCACCTTGAGGATCTGCTCATACCGTGTGCACTACAACCAGGTCGTCAGAATAAAGGATACCAGCAAAATAATCCATGCTGAGATACTGGACTCCGGGGTGATCTATCCCATGGTAGCTGAATACACGTTGGTTCGGAAAAATCTCCGCCAAGCAAATGAATCGTATGAGACAGAGCCCAACTACGCCATGAGGACTTATGCGGTTTCTCGGCAGTTCATGGCCCTTTTCTGCAAAGTGATTGGGTCATCCAAGGCCTCCTCAGATGAAAGACAATTGGCCTCGACCCTACGAGTGAGTTATCTGATCCAGTGGCTCATTATTTTCCAAAAATTCAATTTACTCATCCTTTTCTGGTTGCCGAGGTCAATAGATAATTGACGGGTTCCCAGTTCACGACGATGTCGAATGTGGAAAAACCAACGAATGTTTTGATTACTTCCAGGAGAATGACATGATTGATGGACCTGGTTCAGGGGATGGTAATGGTAATAATACGTCCAACATCAAGGAACCTTTGGATAATGAAAAACCTCGCCGGGTATTCTTCTTCCAGGAAAAAATCGAGGGATATCGCACTCTCTTGCCGCCTATGGCCAATGACTATGGGATCTTGAATGCCTCCAGCCCGATTGACAAGATCTTGCATGCCTTTCAACACTGGGTATATGTATCGACCAAGGGCCAGATGATCATAACCAATCTCAAAGGAAATCCTCCATTGATCACCAAGCCAAAGGTCATCGATGTCAATCCCAGGTGAGCAGACCAGGAAGAAAAACTGAGGTCACAAGAGCTTTCTAATTTTTCCAACTGCTTTCATTGTAGGTCTTATTGGTATCAATGCCAAGATACAAAAGCAATGATGGCCCATTTCCTCAAGAAGCACACATGCACGAACTTATGCCAAGTGTTGGGCCTTCCACCATTGGTAGAAATTGTGTGGACCCCAACAGCCAAGTCCTTAAGGCCGCATCAAGAATACGACCTCAATAACATCAATCACAACTCAGCCCGGCCCCAAATGACTAGTGATCAGTTGGAGCTCCTTGCGGTAGTCAGACAGGGTCAGAAAGCCCTTGTGTCCAAATTATTCTAGTTTTCCATATTTTGTCATTTGCATCACACATCTCTTTCACATGCCACTTCATTTGTTTTCTCATTTGGCCTTGATTTCCAAGTTCAATTAGTTTATGCAAGAAATAAATTTCGTGAAATATTATGTCTTGTTTGCAAAGGTCCTGATAAATTTATTGCAAATTGGATAAGGTATCACAATCATTCTCATTGAATGCACAAGTCTGGGGCTTCAAATAAATGTGGAGCACCACTGGAGATAGAAGAAAATGACAAGAGACTGAGGAAACTGGCAAGATATTCATTTCGGTTAAAAAATGCACAAACTACAATCTACTTTAAGTTTTTTTTTGTTTTTCTGCAGTGGCTAATATATAGTTTAAATCACCGTCATGCATATTTAAATATGCTCCTTCTTGAGTTTTAATATTCTTGAAAACATTGACTGTCTTTTTGTTTAGCTGCAACGAAAAAGCCAAGCGATTAAAGGTTGAATTGGGTTGTGAAAACATGGTGAAATGCTTGTAATCAGTAGACCGCCAGACCATTCTCGCTACCCCATCCAAGTTCTCAAAGCCTAATCCGAACCGACAGTCTGGAAACACAAACTCGCCACCAACAACATTGAACCCCTCAGCATGAGTAGCAACCTTACCAGTCTTCGCAAAAGTTGGGATCCATTGGACATAGGCAAATTCTGAAACATCTTGATTGTCTGTGTGAGGTGAATTGTAAAATCCACCGTATGTATAGGATAGAGAACTCGCTGCATGAAAAATTGTTTACTTCGAGATCGTCTAGGGTGCA